TTTTTTGTGCTTTAAAACATTCTATTAATAGATTTATGAAAAATGATAAGATTATATCTAATACTTATAGTTATTATCTCGGCAAGATGCGTTTTGATGACACTTGTTAATGCTACAACAATTCCTTAAAGTTTATCTTACCTCTCTTCTTTTATAATCTTTAGCATTTTCTTTTTTTTTGACAATAACCCTGTTTTTTTTTGTTTTGTTAAGTTCAGAAATAAAACTTACTGATTTTATTTTATTATAATACTTAATGAACACATTAGCTAAGGATTATATGAGAAGTCTTAACAACCTTTTTGCATCTAGGTTATACCAATTTCAACAAATCTATCTTAGCCCAACAAATGATAATGAATTTGAACCATTAACATGTACTTGGTGTTATTGTACACTTTGTTTTCCAGAGGATTCAATGAAAATAATATCAAGAAAACACGCAATAAAAATGGGATTAATTAAAATGAATGAAGTAAAACATAAAGTTGTTATACAAAGTTGTTGTCATAATTGTGGAAAATGTTCAACAATTCTTTTGGATAAAGCACCAACGAAAATTGAAAGTTTAACAAAGAAACAAATTATTGAAAGAAAAAAAGTCAAAGATAATCAAAAAAACAAAGAAGAAAAGGAAAAAGAAAGTAAGCCAAAAAAATTTAAGTCTAACTCACCACTTCCTAAAGAAGATACTTTTAGAAAGAATTTAGTAAAACAAATAAAAAAGAAATCAAAAACTGAATCGCAAATAGCTCAAGAAACACGTTCAAGTTTATTATCTTTTTTAAAACAAGTAGATTAAATTGATTGTTAGTTTCTTTTAATACATTATCGCTTTAAAATATAAAAATACTACCTAAATAAACAAATGAACTTAATCTGCATTTGCTTCTTTTATTATATTTTCTGCTAATTCTGAATCAAAGTTAGCACGTATTTCATCACATAAATATGTGTAAAGTTTATTTAATCCTTCACTTCTAATTCTTTCATTTCTATGATTTGCTCTAAACATATCAACACATTCTTTTCCATAAGAATCTGGTTTAAATCCATCATCAATATCTTTTAAAACTTGATAAGGAAGAACCAATTCTTTTTTTACATCAGCAGCTACTGTTCCACAATATTCATTTAACTGTCCTAATGAATGATCAAACTTTTCTACTAACTTCGGTAATCTGTTTTTATTACTTTCTTGAAAATCAGAAGAAATGTCATAAATCTCTTTTGCTTGATTTGCAGTTTCAATTAACATTTTTTCAATATCATTTAATGTTGTTTGAGTAAGTGTCATTAAATTATATTGTTTTTTCAGTTTTTTATTTTTATTCTTAAAAACGTTTTATATAACAAAATAAAAAATTTGATGAACTTTTTTTCAATTTCACTTCTTTAATTTTATTGGTTTTTCTTAACTTATGGCACGTCTTCTTGATGTTACAAAATTAACTATCTCAGTTCCATCTGCCTCACCACACTTTCCTGCAATGATGGTTGCAGTTGAACAATGGAATTCAGTTAATAGTGCTATTCGTATTATTATAGAAAACATACCTCCATCAATTTCTCATGCAGAATTACTTGGATTGTTGTATCGTTTTTCTGGAACATTAGGAAAATATGCCAAGAAACTTGAGTCATTTGCAGCTACACCAATTCAGTGGAACGATATAAAATCTAATTACAATCAATATATTGAATATTATTCACAAAAAATACCTGAAAATACTTCTGTTAATCCTGAACAATTTGTATTTAATTTAGCTAGAAATAAATTAGGAGAAGCATTACAACAAAAAGAAGAATGTAAAATGAATCAACAACCAGTTAATGATATAATAAAACGGTTATTTTTCCAGTGTGATGATTTATTTAAATTGTTATTAGAATGGTGTGACCGAGAAGAAGAATCAACAATGGTATTAAAATGTTTGTTATTTTTCTATTAATTATTAAAAGAAGTATAAAATTATTAATGAATTGTTTATAGTCATTGAATTAATTCAAGAAGTAATAAGTGGTTTTTAATATACGTCTTTTAATTCTTTTTCTTCTATTCATTCTGTAAATCAATGTTTTGTTTGAACCTTCTTTTTGCCTTCTTTCAACTTTTCTCTTCTTCTTTCTTTTTCTCTTGTTATTTTAAATTTATTATATTTTATAATATTTTATTATTATTAAATAGTATTTTATCAATATATTAAATCTTAAAAAAAATTTAAAATAATAAAGGAACTTTAATTTAATTAATGAAATTTGGACTTGCAACTATTTCACATCTTTTAGTTTTAGTTGTTGAATGTGGAATGATTCTTGTTTTATTATCATTCTTTTTACCAATGGTAGCAACACGAGACATTGATGAAAAAGATCATACTGTTAGTTATTATTCAAGCCATTTAATTTCATTTTGTGTTGATGTTGATACTGAATTTACTAAACACACTTGTGTGTATTATTCAGGAAACCAAGCTTTCTTTGATAATCTTCCACATTTTTCATCTCAATATAGTTGTTATCTTATAGTTACTGTATTAACTTCATTTAGTCTTATTTTTACAGTATCTTATCTTTTAATTGAATTATATGGATTCTTCAATCCAGAAGATGCTCAAACAGGTGTAATAAAGAATTTAAGTTATTACTATGATAAACTTAGTTCTTTCTTCTCTTTCTTACCAATGTTATCTGATTCTTTACTCTCATTAATTTATGGAGTTTTCTTCTCAAGTATTGTTGGTGTATTTAATCTTATTTCTTTAATTGTTCTTATTATTGGAGTTTCTGGATCTGGTTTTGATGACGGTAATAATTTACATGTAGTTTCTAAATCATTATGCAGTGGATTTTTCATTTACCTTATTGGTAGTACTCTTCTTGTTGGAGGAATTATTGGAACTACTTTAGCCCGTTTCTTTTCAGGAAAAATTGATGAAAGTCAAGTCCAAACAGAGCCAAACCCAGCTTTTGATGTACCAGCAGACCAATAAAACACAAGGAAAAGGTTAGTTGATTTTTAAAACAAATTTTAATTAAAATAAAATTATATTTTCTTTTTTTTTTAAAGAACTTTTGTATTTTTTATTCTCTCTTTAACGAAATGAATAAGAAGAAAGAAAAACAATTCCAACAAGACCTTTCTCATCTTGAAGCTGAATTATTTGAAATTCAAACACTCCTCAATCAACATCAAGCAAAATTAGATTTAATGCCATCTCCACAACAAGATCATAGAATTCGTAGGGGATTATTTATTGGTAAAAGAAGTTCAAGTATTACTTCAGAATCACCACCAATAATCAACTAATTTCATTTGTTTTATGTTATGTATATCAATATTTATTTTAAAAAAAAACAAATTGTTTTATATAACATAAAAATAAATTATTGTAATTCTTTATTCATTGTAACAGCTGGAATACCATTAAAATCAGTTGTTTCACCAGTAAGATAAAACCCAACTTTTAAGTACATTCTATGAATATATTCTAGAGCATCCAATGTAACTAATTTTCCATTAAAATATTCTTTAATTTGGTCGCAAGTAAAATTAATTAATTTTTGTCCCATACCTTGTCCTCTTGCTCTTTTATGAACTAGAACACGGGCAATTCTATATAAATTTTCACCTTCTTGAATAACTCTACAATAAGCAAGAAGTCCTTCTTCTCCCCATGAAAAAGAATGATAACAATATTCATCAATTTCATCCATTGGAGGATGACCAAGGTCTTTTTCTCCACCTGAAGCAAAGATTTCATCTCTCATATCATAAATTTGTTGATATTCTTCTTCATTAAATTGATTAAGCAATTTGAAATTCCATTGGACACTCATGTTTATTATGAATGGTCAATGAGATGATGTTCAATCTTTAAATATTCTATGTTCTATAAATACATTTGATATATATATATTGTTTGCCTTAGATTCTTAACAAAGTCCTTTTATTCAGTCATAATCGTTCAATCACAACTATGATAGAATATTCTTTTTAAATCGATAGATTCTTCTTCTGTTTTGTATTTTTATTAGTTATTCTATTTTTACCTATTTTAATAAACTAAATTCTTATTAAATTTTAGGTATTTAAATCGTATTTTACTTTTAGATAATATTACTTTCTTAATATTTTTAAAAACATTTTTATAAATATTATTTTATTTTTAAAGGTCTCTGTTGTATTTATTCTGTCAGGACTTTTTAGTTTCTTTAAAAACGTTATATATAACTAAATATTCTATTAGTACTTATCGAATTGGCGTTGAAGCAAAAATTCTTTACATGAGTCTACGGTATATGTTGGGTTTGATATTTGATACTCAATCAAAGAGTTAATTGCTGTCGATACCCATTTTCCTTTTTTTGTTTGATACAATTGTGTAATTTGACTACCATTTATTGCAGGAGTAATTAACCAGATATTATCCAATTGTAATTGATAAATTAAGTCAAAATGATGTTGAACAGTTTGGAGCAAATTCGGTTCTATTTGAATTTTAAAATTAATATTTGGGTAACAAGGAATTGTAAAATGAGAATTGAGACAACAATATAATATAATAGATGCCTTCCACATTTCTTTACTTTTTAACATTGACCTTCCATAGTACAATCTTTCACAATTACAATTATGTTGATTTAATAAATTAACTCCTTCAATAATATTATCTACTTTCTCTCTTTCTTTTGATGTAAATTTAAGACCTTCTATAATGATATTTGGAATCATTGGTAATTCCTTTTTTTTTAATAAAAAAGTATCATTTTTGAATGAGTAACAAAGTGCAGTTAATAGTAAGTGTTTAAGCATATCTGTGTCATCTTTAACTTGGTTAATTGAATTAAAAACTTCTTCGCAACAATACATTAAAGGAACACTATTTAATTGAACCATTTCCCAATTACATTCGTTACTTTCTTCTGTTATTAAAATTTCTTTTAATAAATGGCAATACTGAAATACATGAAATCCATATGAAGGATGTGAAGATATTAAAATATTATTTAGTTCAGGTGTTCTTCTACTTTTTTTAATTTTGTTCATTCCTCTTAATACTGATGGATTGGTCATAGCATTTAATGTATTGTCTTCTATCTTAAAACCATATTTGGCAGAAAACCTAATCCCTCTAAATACTCTTAGTGGATCATCAGTGAAAGACTGTATTGGATCTATTGGTGTTCGAATTATTTTATTCACTAAGTCTTCATACCCATTTGTATAGTCCTCAATCATTCCATCTTCAATACGATAAAATAAACAATTAATAGTAAAGTCCCTTCTAATGCAATCTTCATAAATACTCCCTTTTCTAATTTCTGGTATTCTACTATTATCTTTGTACTCTTCTGCTCTAGGACTTCCAAAATCAATTGGTAACTCACAAATAGTAGTAGTTGCAGTTTGTAAATGTTCTGTTTGTTCTCTGTTTGTGAGTAACTTTGTATTAATTCCTTGTAACTGAAGGTATTGAGTAACATATTGAGCAAATTGAACACCACTTATTCCTTCTGAAGTAATATCAATGTCATGACTATTTTTTTTAAGTATTTTATCCCTAACCCATCCACCAACAACTCTGACTGTACAACTTAAATTGAAATATTGTTTGGTATTATTTAATACTTTGAAAATGTCAATTTCTTGTTGAGTTAAATCAATAGGAATATTATATGTTTTACACTCACTTTCCATATATCTTATTTATTTCAAGATAAGATTCATTTTTGTTTATCTCTATTATCATAAATAATTTTACTTTTAAAAGAAAAAATAAAAAGAAGAAATGAAAATCATTTA